TCATCCAGCAGCTTCTTGTGCTTGGAACGAAAAACAGAGAAGTCAGCACCAGAAGAGAGACCTTGCCCACACCAATGCTGACTAGCGGCAGACCAAATTGCGGCAGAGCAACTCTCTCGGACACAGGAGGTGACATGATACCGAAAATCAATACGATCCATTCTTAGGGGAGCTCTGCCTTCCACTATCCACTCATCGATATGGGAGGGTTGCCATCCTAGGTCCAAGACAGTAGCATACAAAGCAGCGATGGGACCGCGAACGAACCGCCATCGGTCAGACGCACTAGCACGGCCCACTGTCGCATGCAATTGAGACCAGACCTTTCGAGCTCCACCGCGCAAACCTTCAGACAAGGATGACCACGCTTCAGAGATTAGGGTAAGTTGTTCAACACGTAGCCTATAGACAGGGTCATCCTTAGTATCATGCAATACTCGCAATACGCTGGTAGTACATGCCCCCGACGACCAGAACCCCGAACAGGAAGCCGCGGAGCCTCTAAACTGCTTCAATATTCCAGGTGGAAGTCCAGACATAGCATGCCCCCAAGAGCCCACTGAGAGGATGCCAGGCTTGAAGACCTTACGCGAAGCTCCACACAACCTTGCAAGGTAGGACAGCTTACGACCACGTCGGAATGCGATAGCACGTCTCTCATATGTTTTCCACGCAGTGCGCCTTCGGCCAGCTGAGGTGACTGTGCCCAGGTCCTTCACACTGGGCGAGAAGGTGATGGAAACTCCATGCTTCTTAAACTCTTCTTGAAGGAGTCGCTGCAACTCCATAGACGAGGCAACTGCAAGAGACTTCGGGCTGACCACACAGCCAAGACCTGATCTATCATGCTGGAAAGCCGCCGCCGCAGGCGGCAAATAACGACGAATAAACTCTCGAGTACCCTGCAAGTACTGGGTGATGTCGTCAACATAAGACCTAATGGGAACACGGACCTGCGGGAGATCACCAAGGCCCTGTGGAACCCTGCTATGGGCCTTCTCCAGTACCCCATACAAGTAGCACTTCACCCAGGGCATACTCTGACTACAACCCGCCAGGATAGACTCCCCAGCCTCAATAACCCGAGAAAGGTTGCCAGAAACCTCCAACAGCCTCGGAGCAGTGTGGATGAGGAGCCCCAAGTACAGGAGGTGCCCAGGGTACCCACGGTTGGTGGCAAAGTGGAGGAGCTTGCAGGGGCTCACGGAGTCGAAGAACTTCTCGAGGTCCCAATGGAGCGCACAAGATTCGAACCCACATGCACGGGCCACTTCATGGGCCAGTTCACGAAATAAAGCAGCCTTAAGAGCAGAGGACCCTTTGACAGCAGAGTCCCAGAAATCCAGATGCTCTTTATTCCAATCATCGATATCAAAGCCGCGGGCTTTGCAGTAGATTCTGTAAAGACTAGGGCACTTGACAATGGCACGCTCATCACAAATAGACTTTAGGCAGCATGGCCATGAGGCAGACATAGCACTGAGGAGGGAAGCTCAAAGTTTGCTCAACTTGACGCATGATACCTGTGAACACTTCGAGGGAGTCGATGGGAGCGGAGAGCAAACTGCGTGGCGCCAGCATGTCGACGCCAAGCGACGTGTGTGGCTTGAAACATGTACAGGCCTTAGCAATGTCATGCACTTCAAGCGGGTCCAAATCTTGCGTAACGACCAATGCTTGCGAACGAAGCTCACGAAGGCCTGCCTCCAGACACACACGCTGTTCAGAGTTTGGGGTCCACCATTTACTCCACTTCCGTTCCCGAAAACTCATCATCGAGGTAGGGGTGTCCACGATACCCTCAGGAGCCAAGAAATACTCAACGCAAACTTTCTCTTCAGCTTTCAAATAGCGGTGAACGGGACTGGCACCTCTGGGAAGGGATGACTGCAACCAAGTGCGCATGCTGCCCCTGGCCTTGGCATGTGCGAGAGACCATGCACGAGTACACACAACACCTGCAGCCTCAACGAGTTCTTCCAATCTATGACACAAGTAGGGAGGTTGGTTCAAGGAATCCTTCCACGACACAGCTGCTTGAGAACTCGCAAGAGGCTCGATGTGAGAAAAAATGTGGCACGCCAAATCGGCCAAGACGCGCCTGTGCTGCATCGCGGCCTGGGAATACGGATCTTTTCGAGTCAACTTCATCAACTCATACAGGCGACTGGAAACAAGAGACCAATATGACAAGTCAGGGTTCTTGAAACTCTGCGCCTGCACGTTGCGGGTCATCGGGGACGAGTCCTTACGCTTCAGCATACTACCCCTGCCTAAGTAACGGTGCGGGTCAGTGACAACGGCACATGCACGAGACAGACCACGGAGCTCCATTGCTCTAGACCAGATAGAGTACTGTATCCCAAGACTCCGAGACAAACCTTCCAAAGTATGAGCGGGCATCGCCTGGTGGAGGTCCTCGGGCATCACCAAGGGGGCCTCCAGGAAACTGGGTGCGGCGGCAGCCATGTAACTCAACCAATGGTTATCAGGTCCATACGCTTCAGGGATCTCCAGGGGCTTCACACGGAGACAGACGGGTTCCACCATAGCCTCAAGGTCCAACAGCACGTCGAGGCACGCATGGGTCTTGAACGGGGACAGGAGGTCGGCGGAGACTCGCAGATATCTAGACAACCGATTCGAACAGACAACATAGTCAATCAAGGTCTCACCAACAGAACAGGTGAACTCAACGTTTTTGGGAACCAGGGCCCTAGCGTCCATCAGCTCCAAGATACCCGAATCCTCCAGGAAATCGGCAGACATGTTGTAGTCCCCCATCAGGAACCACGGGATAGACAGCCCACGGACAAACTCGGCAACCGCACGAAGCCGAGATGAATTCTCACCAGAGACTCCAATGGAGGGAATGAGGTAGATCACACCTACTGCCACAGTGCATGACTTCATACGCATCTCAAGGAAGAACCAACAATTTCCTGCTCCAACCTGGACAGCACCCTTAGATTGAATCAGGAACTTCCGTATGCTCAACCTGGGCTGTACAGCAGCCCCGACTCCTCCATGAGTGCCACCACCTGGGGACGGTAAAGCACTCTGGAAATGAGGATTCCACTTCATCTGCCGACAGGTCTTCTTGGCACGGAACAGGTTCGTCCCTTCAGGAGGAGGAGGAGGAGGAGGAGGAGGAGTAGGAGGAGGAGGAGGAGGAGGAGGGGAGGGGGAGGGGGAGGAGGAGGAGGAGGGGGGGGGAGGAGGAGGAGGAGGAGGAGGAGGAGGAGGAGGAGGAGGAGGAGGAGGAGGAGGAGGGAGGAGGAGGAGGAGGAGGAGGAGGAGGAAGAAGAACAGGAGAAGGAGGAGCAGGAGGAGGAAGAGGAGGTAGAGGAGGAGGCGGAGGAGGAGGAAGAGGAGGAGGAGGAGGAGGAGGATGAGAAGGATGAGAAGAAGGAGGAGGATGAGGAGGAGGAGGAAGAGGAGGAGGAGAAGGAGGAGAGGCGGAGGAGGTGGAGGAGGAGGATCGAGGGGAGGATGAGGAGGAGGATGGGGGGATGGGGGGGGAAGGAGGGGGAGAAGGAGGAGGAAGAGGAGGACGGGGGAGGAGGAGGAGGGGGAGGAAGGGGATGTGGGGGGGGGGAGGAGGAGGAGGAGAAGGAGGAGGAGGAGGAGGAGGAGGAGGAGGAGGAGGAGGAGGAGGAGGAGGGGAGGAGGAGGAGGAGGAAGGGGGGAGGAGGATGTGTAGAAGGAGAAGCAGGAGGAGGAGGAGGAGGAGGAGGAGGAGGAGGGGGAGGAGGAGGAGGAGGAGGAAACAGGAGGAGGAGGAGGAGGAGGAGGAGGAGGAGGACGAGGAGGGGCAGGGGGAGGGGGAGGGGGAGGGGGACAAGCTAGGTGCGCTCGCGTCATATCAGCCATCCTACCCCTCCCTCCCATCCCTGGCAATGGCGCAGATCCCCTCTTTACTCGCACAATCGGATGTCGAGCAGGGCAATGATCCCGAAAGGGTACGCGATGCATTGTAGAACACGGCATGGCATGGCATGGCGTAGAAGAGCACCGCGAAGCGTACTATCAACCTAGCATTGCATTGCATGCCGTGGCATGGCACGGGCAATGACGCAAGCGCTGCAGTGCGAACACGAATCGAAACGAGCGGAAGCGCGGAAATGAGGCCAACGCTGCAGCGGGAACACGACTCGGAACGAGCGGAAGCACGCCGGAATCGGCCCGGGAGGATTCCGGGCGCCAGAAACAGAAATTCAGCATTTCTTAAAAGAAAAATGTGTATTGGAATGGCCTTTTTTCGGCGCCGCCTCGGATCTCGATTTTCCAGCGCCGGCCGGAACCGGCTCCGGACCCGGCCCGGGCACCGGCCCGGGCGCCGGTTCGGGCGTCCGGCCCGGGCCCCGGGTGCCGGCTCGGGCGCCGGCCCGGGCGTCGGAATCGACCCGGGGGGCCTCCCGGGCGCCGGAAACAGAAATTCAGAATTCTCAGAAAAGATAAATGTGTATTGGAATGTCCTTTTTTCGGCGCCGCCTCGGAACTCGATTTTCCGGCGCCGGCCAGAACCGGCTCCGGACCCGGCCCGAGCGCCGGCCCGGGAGCCGGCCCGGGCGCCGGCTCGGGCGCGCAGCCCGGGCGCCGGCGGAAATGATGCCAGCGCTGCAGCGGGAGCACGACTCGGAACGAGCGGGGCCCGAAAATGAGGCCGGCGCCTCAGCGAGAGCAGCATTTTGGAAACAAATGCAGGCGAAAAACCAACTCTGGGGAAACCTGTGTGTTAAAAAACAATACGCGGGGGGGGGGCGGATACTTTCAAGCCGTCATCAGGGGAAGAGGGAGAATAGTATTCATATTGAGTAACTGTGGAGGAGGGAGGAGGAGGAGGAGGAGGAGGAGGAGGAGGAGGGAGGAGGAGGGGGAGGAGGAGGAAGACGAGGAGGAGGAGGAGGAGGAGTAAGAGGAGGAGGAGGAGGAGGAGGAGTAAGAGGAGGAGGAGGAGGAGGAGGAGGAGGAGGAGGAGGAGGCCAGGCGCGCCCCTCCTTGTCGGGCCCCGCCGAGACCACGATCAGCTCCGAGATGTGGCCCTTCTCCTCTGAGCGTCGTTTAACCGATCCCTATCCCCACTGGCGTGGCCTGGGCCCCACCAGCCGATTTACCCTCGAGATGGGGATATAGGCGATTCCCTTCGGGCTTCGAGGGCCACATCCCCAACTGGGGTGGTGGGATGGTGGGGATCAGGATGGGGATGGGAATGGGAATGGGGATCGGTTAAACGATACTGATCCTCGCATCCGGCGGCGCGCCCAGGGGGGAAGGCAGACCCCAAGATGGAGGCCTTCCAAGCGGGGTCCGAGTTAAACAGGGTCGGCGGATAGCGCCGCATCGTCGGCGATGCAACGGCGATGCCTCGGCGATGCATCGGCGACGCATTGGCGATGCATCATCGATGCCTCGTCGACGTCGGCGATGTATCGGCGACGTCGGCGGTGAAAAAATCGGGCTCCGCTCCGAGCCGCATCGGTGATGCATCGGCGACGCGGCGTGATCCTCCAACCTCATCTGCTCGAACCCCATCTGGGAAGCCTAGATGCGATCATGGCGTCTCAATGTTGTTGCCGCCCAGTCTCAGGACCCAGGACCCTCACAGATCGATCCGGCTCGAGATATGGTGCAGAAAGATGGGGTCTAGGGCTCTGGTCGAGATCTTTCACAATGCTTCATTTGTTCATGACGTCGGATCTCCGGGGAGGGGGCGGGCCTCGTGAGAGGGCTCAGCAGCATGACTGCCTCCGACCTTCTAAGAAGCTCTCCAAGCCTTCTCCGAAGCCACGAAGGGCGTCTCAAAGGCTGGAGGGCTTCGAAGAAGCACCGCCGCCTTCCGAGAAGCCATCTCATTTTCCCCCCCCTCGGGGCGGGGCAGCGGGGTCGGCCCCGGGTGTCTCCCAAGCCCGGGTCGGCCAGAGGATCTCGGAGGGGGCTGGCTGACCCCCCCGTGAGCGCCGACCCCCGTCTGTGAACGCTTTCTTATTCGGTGCCTCGACATCAGGCGGAGGGGGGGGGGAGGGGGGAGGTCTGACTCCAGACCTCTGCTTCGTGCGACTGTTTGCAGCAGTGCGTCCCATGGGGGAGACTCCACCTGCACGAAGGATTGCAAAAAAAACCCTTGAACGAAGGATTGCAAAAAAACCTTCGTTTTTTTTTGCAATCCTTCTTGCAATCCTTCGTTTTTTTGCAATCCTTCTTGCAATCCTTGTTTTGCAATCCTTCGTTTTTTTGCAATCCTTTGAAACCGGCGCCAAACACAGCCAGGATCTACTCCAGCGGGGCGGGGGGAGGGGGGGGAGGAGGGCCCGCGCCCATCGGCAAACAAAGGAATAAGAAAACCACGACTGCCGTGAGCTCCGGAGCCCACGTGCCCCGGGGAGGGCTGCCGGCGCCACATCTGCGGCGTCAACCGAAGGATTGCACAAAAACCCAAGGATCGCAAAAAAAAACAACTTGTTTGCAATCCTTCGGTTGTTTTGCAATCCCTTGTTTTTCTTGCAATCCTTTGGTTTTTTTGCAATCCTCCGCGCGCACAACCGCCGCAACGCCTCCCCTCGACGGGGGCCCGCGCCTCCCAGAGGCGGCCCGCCGGCACGGCACGAGCTCCCTGCGGAGCGGCCTGGGGCACCACCTTCTGCATGCGGTCGGTGTCTGCCTCTGCCCCTCCTCCCATCGACCAACGGAGCTCCGCGCGGACCTCTTGGATCGGCGCTGTGCCCCCCCGGCGACAGCCCCCCAGCGCCGCCCCTGGCGCGCCCCAGGACATTGGGGCCCAGCGCAAGTCCAAGACAGCCGAGCGGGACTCCCCACACTGATGTTTATGCAAGGCCTCTCGGGGATCTTCTGACCCGGGTCGATCCAAACCTGGGTCAGCAAGAAACCACACAACTGCGATGCAAGAAAACAAAACTGCAACGCAGGTCTTTGCAAACCCGGGTCAGCCAATATGCGCGGCCGCCTCGCGGCCACGAGCGGCTCGCTATCCCGGGTCAGCCAGAGGGGGTCTTCGCAGGATCCTGCAGGATTCGGTGCCCTGGCTGACCCCCGTTTGCACTGACCCCCGTTTCCTGAGCTCGGGAGCGGCCAAGAGGGGGGTGTCCAAGAGGGGGGGGTGCAAATCATGACGGGCGCCATGTGCGCGGCCCAGCGGGGGGGCCAGGGACGTAATGAAATAAGAAGAGGCGCCATGAAATCTGGGGAAACATCATGGCCCCCGCCATGAGATCCCCCCCCCCCTAGTCATCACCCCCCTCTTTTCCGCCCCCGACCGTTTGCCCGCATAGCCCATGCATCGGCGATGCGGCGCGATCCTCCGACCCCGTCTACTCGGACCCCATCTTGGAGGCCTAGATGCACTGACCCCCGCCATGATATCCCCCCCCCCCTAGTCATCACCCCGATCTTTTCCGCCCCCGACCGTTTGCACTGACCCCCGGTTCCTGAGCCCCGATGTCTCTCCTTCGGGCCCCGTGCCGGGCCGCCTCTCCGCCCCCCGCCCGCCTCGGCCTGCGCCCGTCTGCCCCGCCGCCGCCCCTCCGCGGCCGTGGGTCCGCCCGCCCCCGGGTCTTGGCCGTCGGGGCCGCGCCGACTTGCCCCCCCCCGGGATGGAGAGCGACGACGACGAGGAGGAAGAGGAGGAGGGACGATGGCGGTAAGTGTTCTGGACCTCTGCAGTAGGAGCTCGACCGCAAGAAACCTTCCACAAGAAACCCAACCTGAAGACCCCAGGGCGTCCGCTACTGTTTGGTGTGGGAACGTCGCAAAACCATCGAAATCCAAGAAACCCTGGGCACCTTGGAAGCAAGCAACAGGTTTCTTGGCATCGGTTTTCACTGCACGACTGGTCGTGCCCTTCCCCAAAACTGATGTTTCATCCCAGGTCGTTTATGGACTGCCCCTGGGACTGGTGTGAAAGCCCCCAAAGGCCGGCTGCTGGCCAGCGCGGGCCCCAGACAGTGAAGGATTGCACTGCGGAGGCTGAAGCTACGCAGAGTAATCCCAGCAGCCCTCAGGGCGTCGGTGGTTTAGGGAGTTTCCTCTTCCACCCCTGTTTCTTCCCCTTCGGGGAAGGGTTTACTCCTCCCCCTACCCCCTCCCCATGGACCTGGACAGGGGTTTCGCGAGTCGTCGGAGCTTCCAAAACGGCTTCGGCGAGGAAGCCAAAATCATTGGGTTCACTGGGGCCAAATAAAAGTTCCCCCCTTGTTTGCTCGATCTCCTCCAATATGGCCCCAAGAAGCGCCCAGGAGGCCCCAAGAGGTCCCAAGATGGCCCCAAGAGGCCCCCAAGCGGCCCCCAGGAGGCCACCAAGAGACCCCCGAGAGGCCCCAGAGACCCCCCAGAGGCACCCAAGATGTTCCAATAGGCCTCGGCGAGAATGCCAAATCATTGATTTCACGAAAGTTTTAGCAACATGTGGGCCTCTTGGGGGGGCACTGATTAAGATGACTCCGAGAGCGCCTGGGGAAACCCAAAATGACCTCCAAGATATCCCAAAATGTCTCGTCGTGGCTTCCTCTGTGTGCTGCCCCCTTCCCTGATCGAGGCAATTCCACTGGGCATCGTTTCTGGATGGGCTGGTGGGGATTATTTTCTGGTCGCAGCCGCAAGTGAAGGCAGGCGGCGAGAGGGGGATCCGGGGCACGGGCCAGCCTAATTAGCGACTGAGCGACGCGCAAGCCGGCCGAGCCAGCACTCAGAAGCGGCGGCAGAGGTGCAGCTGCTGCTGGTGGGACTGGCTGGCTGGTCTGCAACGCCCAGGGAAGCTGATGCAACATGCAGGCCTGAGGCAGAGGTGCCAGAAGTGGAATTAGGAACTGCACGCCAGAAACGCCTGAACAGCACTGTGCATACGGCCATGCCTCGAGCTGGCGAGGGCGCTGCCACTGCCGGTGAACCAGAAAACGGCTGGTGGGGATATTTTTCGGTCGCGTCCACCAGCGAAGGCGCTAGCGGAGTCAGAAGCGCTCCGGGACACGGAAACGGCCTAATTAGCTACTAAACGCGCCGCAGGCCGGCCGGCCCACTCACCAAGCAGCGGGAGGCTGCGCGGGGGAGATGGCAAGCTGAGGGCGCTCAGGGAAGCTCAGGCACTTGCACCCCAACAAAATGCTGGAAAATTAGGGTTGTGCCGTGAGGCAAGACCCGTTCGAAGTACGAGGACGAGTGCGGCGATGACTGCCTGTCCAACATGCCCGTTGGGCGTCCAGGGGTAGTAAGCGATGGGTGAGTCGCCAGTGGGGCGCCAAGCCCAGTGCGCGCCAACGGCGTGTGCGAGCCAGGTGAGCTGCGCTGCCGGGGAACGTCGCAAACCAGCCTGGAAGGTGGGAGGGGCCCGGGGAAGCGGAAAAAGCTGGTGGGGATTCGCGAAGCGTCAACAATTACAGTGGAGGCCAGTCAACAAGAAACCTTCCACAAGGAACCCAACCCTGATACCCCAGGACGTCCACTGAATTTTGGTGTGGGCACGTCGCGCTTTCCATGGCAGAACTAACCGCATACCACGGAGAATAACCCCCCAGGGATAGTAAAGTTCGGGGTTGTCGGGGAGATAATAAAAGTTGCCCGCCAGAGCCAGCATAAAGAGATATCAAGAGGAAAAAGCCAAAGATAACATGAAGATCCCGAGGGGGAAGGAGAAGAAATACAGAGAGTTAACTAGAAAGGTAGAAGAAGAGGAAGGGGAGGCAGAGGAGGAAGAGGAGGAAGATGATGAGGAGAAGGATGAGAAGGATGAGAAAGAAGAAAAGGAAGAGGAGAAGGATGAGAAGGAGGAAGAGCAGGAGAGGCAGATCAGAAGGTAGAAGCAAAAATCAAAAGTTGAAAACTTATTAGATTTAATGTGTAAACACTTGATGAGCATTAAAATTTTCATCTGCTCGTGAAGGGTAGCTATTGTGCTTAGTTTTCCCAGGATAATCAACCCCAGCGATAAACAAGTTCAGGGCGCCAGAGGGAGGAGGAGAAAGAAAGACATAGAGAGAGAAAGAGACAGAGAGAGAGAGAGAAACAGAAAGCAACACAAAGCAACATAAGAAGGAAGTTACCTCGATGGCGAACTTTCCCAGTGATAATGAAGTTCGGCCTCCGCGCCCTCCGCCTATATTTGAAACCCTTCTAGGCCGACGATAAAAAACTCTAACGACTTACGGGGGGGGGAATTCATTATCCTGGGTATGGGGCTATCGAAACCCAAGCAACCCAGTTCACCCTGGAGGCAAGCAAAGGAGCAAAGGGTTTCTTAGCATGGATTTCCACTGCACGACTTATCGTGCCCTTCACAGGAATCGATCTTTCATCCCCAGTCGTTTATAGACTGCCACTGGGAATTGTGTGCAGGCCCCAAGAGGCCGAATGTTGGCCAGCGCGGGCCCCAGACAGTGAAGGATTGCACTGTGGAGGCTGAAGCTACGCGGAGTAATTGCAATGGAGGCCAGTCCACAAGAAACCTTCCACAAGGAACACAACCCTGAGACCCCAGGACGTCCACTGATTTTGTGGTGTGGGCACGTCGCGCTTTCCGCAGCAAAACCATGGAAACCCAAGAAACCCAAGGGCGCGCACCCTGGATGCAAGCGGGGTGCTTCTTGGCATGGGCCTCCACTATAACGTTGGGAGATGGACCGGCTCAGGAAGCAAACAGCGAGCCGGAATACAGTCCGCGAAATGCTTAAGAAATCATGGGTTAAGAAACTCAGAGTCTCAGAATTTGAATAAAAACCCAGAACTTCTATCAACATCTTGGGATTTACATCGAAACATTAAGAATCATCGAGACTCTCGCCGAAAACTTAGGTTTTCTTAAGCATCGCCTAGGGTGTAGGCGATGACCTCTGGGTCATCGCCACTGCGTCGGATCGGAGCGTGGTGGGCTCGTTTTCCACCGCCGCCTCCATAAGTAGGAGGGGGCGGGGGTCGTCCTCCTCCCCCGCTTCCTCCTCCTGATCCTCATCCTCATCCTCATCCTCCTCCTCATCCTCCACCTCCTCCTCCTCATCCTCCTCCTCATCCTCCTCCTCATCCTCCACCTCCTCCATGAGGAGGAGGATGAGGACCTCATCCTCCTCCTCATCCTCCACCTCCTTCCCCACTCCAGCTTATGGTGGTGGCGGTGGAACACAGGCCCACCAGAACAGGCACGGGTCTCCACTGAACTGAAGTCAATCCGCCGGCTAGGTTTGCGGGGCCACCAGGCTGCGAGGCTCGGGCTTCAGCAGCAGAAGCAAGGCCTGAGTCGGGGCTGGACCTAAACGTTGTTTTTCGTTTTGTTGTTCGTTTTGCTCTACCTGTTTTCCTGTACCTCCCTGCCAAAACGGAACACAAAACACAGCCGAAATCCAGCAAAACAGCGTTTAGGTCCAGCCCTGGCCTGAGTTCCATGGTCCAAGTGACAATTCCAATGCAACTTCCAGGTGCCGGTCTCCAGGTAATAGTTTTGTATCCTCTTCCTTTCAAGAAATGTTACTCGTCCACGCGGGAAGAGGGGGTGAGCCGAAAGCCAACATGGGTACCACGGTCTCGTGGGGTTATCATAACTCCAGGGAGACCGCGAGGCACACGCTAATGCAGGGGAGTCGCATCCCGGGGGCCATATCCCTAAATTATAATATGAAATCGCGCTCCCAAGACAAACGTCCCTTGCAGTTTACTCGACTTTCGCACACCCGCGTAAAATTACGTGTGGTTCGCGTTACCTCGTAGTGTTTCCCCTCGTAAATCACGTGTGGCTCGCGTTCCCGAGGCCAGAATCTCTTCCACATTCCACCAGGCCGGCGCCCCCGACGGAAGAGCCCAAAGGAATTTGACACGCACGCCAGACTCGCGGCGCCACGGGGCCCGAATCCCTCGCAACCGAAGCCGGGATCCTGGGTGACCTGCGCCAGGCTCGCGCTCCCGAGGGAAACCAATCCCCCCACCCAGACCCCCGACGTAATGATTTTTTCATTACGTCGACCCCCAGAGGTCCCGGCCCGACCCTTTCCCCATGACCGGCTTTGCATCCCGAGTCGTTTTTTGACGCTCCCGAGGCCCGGTGAGGGCCTCCAGAGGCCGAAAATTAGGAAGAACCTCCCGTCATGTTTTTTTCATTACTCGAGGGGGTCTGGGCACCCCGCGCCAAATATCGCGCTGCTCCCGAGGCCGCAGGAGCCCTTCCAACCGCACTGGCCTCGCCCCCCCTGGAGGCCGGCACACTGGCAGACCACGCCAACCTAACGCGCGCCCAGGGCCAAGGCACCTGCGCGGCGTTTTGCTACGGCGCGCCGCTGTGCGAGCGGGTGCGCAAGTCTGCCAGTGTTACGCTGGGCATTTAGGGACGAAAAAACGACCCTACCCTGGGTTACAAGTGCGTGGTCTGTAAAACTCCTGGGAACCCCCAAACCCTAGAGCCGCCAGGGCGCGGCACATCACGCAGGGTTTACCCTGTCAGCCCACAGGAGTTTCAGCGCACAGCGCCTCGTAAACCAGGGTAGGGGCGTTTTTTTATGCCCTTGAGGGCATGCCCTCCCAGAGGCGGATTTTGAAAGAGAGAACTCGAGCAGCCGAGAGATGCTCCAGAACAATAAAAGAAACTAATGGAACAAAATCGTTCCCAGGCATGTTTTTCACGGTTCCTGAACATTCCTCCTGTAGAAGGATTTGAGGCAAGCACTGGCGTGAATTTTTCTACGACGCGACGATGTCCGAGCGGGTGCGCAAGTCTGCCATTGAAGCGGTCAAACACTGATCGATGACCTCCAGCTGAGGCGCCTCGGTCAAAAGCCCGCATACCGAAGGGCATCGGCCGGCGCCCGAGTCTCACCCGGGCCCCTGCATGGGGCCTCCTCAACGTGACGAGCTGGGACGTGCGAAGAACGGGAGGTCGCCTCCATCCTCCCTCTTCCTCCTCCACGTCCCCTTCCCGCTCCTCCGCCTCCTCTTCCCCAGAGGACCAGCAGAAGGAAACGATCTAGGGAAACGAACTTTACACAACGATGTGTGTTCTGGCCCTTCGTTAAAATGTTGCATAAGAAAACGAAACCTGGTGTATACGGGATTCTGATGTATACATGTTTCGTTGTCGCCCCAGTAATACGAATGAAACGAATATAAACCACACCACCCCGACGTCGCCCCCGACACTCCAAGTCCTGGGGTTGGAAAACAGCTCGCCACTGGTGCTGCAAATGGTCCAACATCCGACAAAAAAACAGCTGGGCCCTCCTCCGTCCTGCCTGTCGCCTAAATTGGATGGGGTCCAAGTAGATGGGGCCGAAAGATCGCGTCGCATCGTCAATGCATCGCCGATGTATCGGCGATGCATCGGCGACGTCGGCGACGCATCCGCGACGTCGGCGTGGGGAAAATCGGGCTCCATATCGAGCCGCATTCGTCGATGCATCGGCGATGCGACGCGATCCTTCGACCACCGTTATTTGGACCCCATTTCGGAAGCCTGCATATCCTCCTTCTGCCTCCTTCGTTCTCCGCCCTCCGTCCTGCTGCGACTGGCACGGATGGCAGAACCCATGCGCCCCCACACAGCCTCGACAGGGTTATGCCTACACCTGGACGCTGGCGCTATCATATAACCCTTCGGATCCTCTTCCACCTCCTCCTGTCATCTCCTCTCCCTCCCTCCCTCGCACCAACACCAAGAACATAATCCAAAACCAGAGGTCCAAGACGACCGCAGGAAACAACAAGACATCCGCCGACCCCGTCGAAAAAAAAACTTCCAGACTCATTCGCCTAGGACCCCGTTGGCGCCAGTCGACCAACGAGGCGCCCACGGTCCTGCGAAGATCTTCGAAGGATGTCCGACGGACATTCGAACGGTCTTCCGAAGGATCGGTTTCAGTGACTCCGAACGGTCCTCCGAACGTTGGGCGTGGATTACTGGGGGGGTCACAAGTGGGGGGGTCAGGAAAGGTCCCCTCTCGTGCCCCTTTCGGGCCCCTCCAGAGCCCCAGGGGGCTCGTTTAGGTACCATTTGGGTTCTTCTTCGGACCACACTCGCCGCCCCCCCATGTACGACTCCCCCATTACGCAACGCCCAAGAACGGCCCTCCGAAGGTCCTCCGGGAGCCCTCCGAATGCCCTCCGGAGCCCGGCGAGGCGCAGACGTGCGCCCCGCAGGGCGGCCCTCCGGGAGCGCGGCGGGGGCGCCGGAGCGCCGAGAGCCCAGTACTTCACATGGGCCCCTGGATTCGCCCAGTAAAGCGACGCGAAGATCGGGGACAAAATCGGATCGGGATAACTCGAAATCTCTGAGAATCGGCGGGTTTGGAGGATGTATTGGGCGCCGCGGCCGCTCCAGAGCGTTCCGGAACGCTCTGAGAGTGCTCCGGAACGCTCTGGAGCGATTTATCCCGATCCTAGCCCTGTTTTACCCAGGCGCGTGCCAGAGGTCATGCACCAGACGTGCCGGCCCCAGAACGGAATCAGAGTTTGATGATGGATCTCCCGCGCTGCTACGATATTCTCTGCATGCTGCTTTCCAGGTGTCTGGCCTCTGCATCGGGGCAGATGTATTCTCAAACTGCTCCCTGGCAAAAACAGTTTTGTGGTCGTGGGCGTACTGGATAAACTGCCAACCGGAATGCTCCTTCACCAATGTCGCGCACTCCTTGAACATGCTTCGCCGACGGGTGGGAAGGCAGGTTCAGCATCATGAGTGGCAGGTCCATGTACTTCGCCAAGATCTCTGCGAGCAACCTCCAAACCCTTGATCCGCACAATGCATAGCCAATTGCTCCATGAATTTCTTGCGTTGGGTAGCACCTTTCCATACAGCTGCGACTTGCGTAGCAACTCTCTGGTTCTCGGTTGACGTCTTGGTTGCTGAGAGCGTTTCCGAGATAGGTTCCCACGCTCCTATCGGTGACATGTCATGCCCATGTGCCGACGCATACGGATGTCATTCGCAAGGCTTAGCTGATAATTTGCGTGCCTTCGTGATGTGCTAGGCGTGGTCTCTGCTTCGCAAGGTCGCCACTCGCTGACGTCACAAGGAAGGGCCGTATTCAGAGAACACTTTAATACCATGATGTCCGAAAGAACTCGGAGCTGTCTTGAACCAGCTGTATTGAGCCACAACTATTTCTTGAGCCAGCTGTCTTGAGCCGAAGACCCTCCGAAAGGCCCTCGAGGGACTCCGAAGGCCCTTTGAAGGACCTCCGACGGCCCTCTGGCGGTCCTCCGAAAGATCGGTCTCCGAAGGCTCTCCGAAGGCCCTCCGAAGACTGCCGGTTTTTCCGTGCCTGGGTGCGCGCCCGATCTTTGTGGCGCCCGCGCGTCCTTGAGTCTGAGCCCCTCCTCGACCGCGATCTCGCAGAACGGGTTCATGGACATCTGTGAGAAGGGGCGACGAGGACGGTACAGGCGGCGTGGCGCGGCTTTGCCTCCACTGCCTCCTCGTCCTCACACTCCCCCGTCATCGGATCAGCAGCATCAGCAGCGTCAGCAGTAGCATCGACAGCATCATCATCATCATCATCATCATCATCATCATCATCATCATCATCATCATCATCATCATCATCATCGTCATCATCAGCAGCAGCAGCATCAACGGCATTACGAGCCACATCACCATCATCACCACCACAATCATCATCATCAGCATCATCATCACCAGCAGCATCATCATCTTCATCAGTATCATCTGACTACCTACCAGACCACCCCAACCCAACCCGAAGACCCGAATTTGACCCGATTTTCGGGTTGGGGGGGGTACGGGTTCCATGTGTTTTTTCAACGTTCCCCGACCCCTCCCCACTGTAAATGGAGGGCACATTGAGGCCTTCGGGTTGGGTTGGGGTGGTTTGGTAGGTGGTGATCATCACCATCGTCATCGTCATCGTCATCACCATCATCATTATAATCACCATCAGCAGCACCACCATCACCACCATCACCATCATCACCATCATCATCATCATCATCATCATCATCATCATCATCGTCAGCAGCATCAACATCAGCATTAGCACCGTCACACTCATCATCATCATCATCATCACCATCATCATCACCATCATCATAATCGTCGTCATCATCATAAGCATCATCACCATCTCCACCCAATCATCCAAACATCTAATAACAATCATCATCACCAGCAGCATCATTAAATCATAAGTTAATCATGTTCTTACTTTTCCTCCTCTTCATTATCATCATCACTACCCTACAATTAGCATTAACGATTTTCCTGCGGGTTTCGTGCTGTGGGATGTTTTGCTGTGGGCTCCCACTGGGCCTTCTCGGGCGTTGCGTACTGGGGAGGGAATATCAGGGGAGGAGGGAAACAGGTGCACCTCTCGCGCAAACTTTGGGCCCCACAGGGCCCCGTTTGGGTTTCTTTCGGGCCCCTTTCCTGAAACTCCCGATGCCCTCCAATCAACAGCATCTTTAGGGCCCCTCTCTTGCAACTCCCGACGTTACCCCATTAAAGAACGCCCAGCGGGGACCTGGAAGCATCAGAGAGATCTCCTCCTTCTCCTCGTTTCCTACCCCTCCTCTTCGGCAAGGGCTGAGGCCGCGTGGCCGGCGCGCCAGGGCTTCCTGCCATGAGCCGCCTCATCAGAATTCTCAAGGTCCTCCTCCTCTTCCTCCTCCTCCTCCCCCTCCTCTTCCTGATCCTCCTCCTCCTCCTCAGGAGGGGGCGCCCTGCCCCGTCGCCTCCAGAGCGACACGCGGGCCGAGACTTGGCACTCCCGATCACCTGCTGCGCCTTTGCTCGCCCGAGCGGCCAAGCCTCAGGGGTTCTACACACCGAATGGACTAGTAGAAAGCCTGAGGGGTCCTCCTCCTCCTCCTCCTCCACCTCCGCCGCCTCCTCCTCCCAGCACCTTCTAAGCCCCGCTGGCCCCCGTGCGAAATCCTGCTGGGCCCTGCTAGCCCCTGCTAAGTCGTGGTGGGCACTGCCAACCACAGCTGAGCACTGCTGAGGCTTGCCACCCCCTGCGCAGCCCTGCTAATGAGCCCTGCTAATGAGCCCTCCCTGCCCCCAAACGGTGAGCCTAGTATAAAGCCGTAGTTGAGCTCACATCGTGTAAACACCCGTTTATTCGAACAGTAACTAAAACAACCCAAACCCTCAAAGATGTGAAAACGGATGGTCAAACGAAACACTGTGGATGACCTTACGCAACGGCTGACGCAGGCCGCTCACACAGTACACTGCGCGGAAGAGAAGGCGCTCTCGCGCGACCTTGCGCGGTTGCACGCGCGGATGTTCAAGTACAGCTAAACTGCGACGATGAGGAGCGCTAAGAACGCGTGTTTCATTCGCGGCCAGCCATACCGGGCGTTCTGGTGTGTGTGTGTGTGGGGGGGGGGGGGGGGGGACGAACGTAACGCCCCCCCCCCCTCCCAGACTGTGGTGCCGGACGCACCGCGGCAGTGCCGGGGACGCACCGAGGGGGGGAGCGTTACTTTATGAGGGGGGGAGGAGCGGGGGGAGGGCAGGGGGCATAACGCGCGTTATGGTCCAGAGGGTAACAAAAACAAGCGTTCCAAGTGAGGAACGAAGCCCCGCTCTTTCCCCAACGGCGGCGGAGTGCACGAGGGGCGCCAGGAGGAGCAGCCAGGAAGAGCGTCCTGAGACACGGCCAGCCCTCTCCGAGCAACCTGAACTGGCCACTCTTTCCTGGAGGCGGCAGGGGAACCTGCACTGGCTCGGGCCCCAGCAAATCGGTCGCGAGCTGGGACGAGGCCACATTGGAGGGGCCCTGGGACACACAAATGAGTGAAACCAACTCCCAGGATTCAGTCTATGTTTCAATATGGTCTTGGTCCCCTTCCCCCCCCTCCCCAGATCCCATAGTTTCCGAGATTCTCCGGGGGATCTATACTTTGGATTGTGCCTGTGTGAGTTTTCCCCTCCTGACAAATGCGCGTGGTCGAGAGGCTCGCCGTGGTCCGGAGGCGACGGCTCCCTCGTGCCTCGCCTCTTGCGCTCCTGCTGGCCGCGCGTCGACTGTGGCAGGGGAAGCGATTTCGGGGCCAGCGAGGAGGGGGAGGGGATCAGGGGGAGGAGGGGGAGGAGGAGGAGGAGGAGGAGGCGGAGGAGGAGGAGGAGGAGGAGGAGGATTCCCCTCCTGGCAGATTGCCTCAGGATCGGTGCGCGGACCTCTCCCCGGGGGCCATCCGGTGAAGACTGTCGCGCCCCAGACTCGCCTGCCGTTCCGCGGGGCCCGACGACCGCCCCCAGGGGCCGAAAAAACGGCAGAGCGCCTTCTCGAAGCAGGCCTCTCGGATCTCAACCAGAGGGAGGGAGAGAGGGAGAGAGAGGGAGAGAGAGGGAGAGGGGGAGAGAGGGAGAGAGAGAGAGAGAGAGAGAGAGAGGGAGAGAGGGAGAGGGAGAGAGAGGGAGAGAGAGGGAGAGAGAGAGAGAGAGGGAGAGAGGGAGGGAGAACGCACTTGGGGAGAGAAAGAGAGGGAGAGGGAGAGGGAGGGAGAGAGCGCGCACTTCCTGAGCGTCGAGGGCGCGGCGTTTGCAGACATTGCCGGGAAGTCCCACGCGAGAGCGGGATGCGTGGGTAGACTATGAGGACGTCCCGCGCGAGAGGGCGAACTTGACATACACTGCTGTGAGACATCAAGCGGGAGCCGCGGTTGTTGTAAACCGTGGGTCCAACAAGCCAATTTGGTGACCCCACACTTTCCCTTGAAAAGGGACGCCCCTTACTGCTGGCTTGAACCCATCTGGTGTACCACCTCGAACCCTAAGCCAGATCCAACTTAAGTGAACATCTCGACGGTAGTCGGCCCGTGCTTCTGCGCCACTCATCAGCGCTCCTCCCCTCCACCTCCGCTGATGCTGCCGCCAGGAGAGCCCAGAATCGAATCGACAAATCAGATCGACGATCGAAATTCATCGCATCGACGGAACTCGGCAGCCAAGTCGAGAGAAGTCGAATCGGCGGAACTCGGCAGGCTGGTGGTCAGTACGGCCTCAGTAAGACGTCGACACCCAAGGCAGGAATCCGAAGTCGAATCGAATCAGAATCGGAATCCGATCGGAGGAGGAGGAGGAGCAAGAGGGGAGAAGAGGAGGAGGAGGAGGAGGAGGGGGAGCAAGAGGGGAGAAGAGGAGGAGGAGGAGGAGGAGGAGTAGGAGGAGTAGGAGGAGGAGGAGGAGGAGGAGCTCATCGGCGCGTGCCTCTGCGTCCCTCCTCGGCGCTCCTCCCCTCCGCCTCCGCCTCGGCTGCCGCTGGCCGCTCCTGCTCTGCCGGGCCCAGGCCCCCGGCGTCGTGCGAACGAGTTTTTTTTTTTTTTTGGGGGGGGGGTATTTGTGTATATATATATATATATTGTATATATATAGTGCATATATATATATATATATATATATATGCATGCATATACACATATATATATATATATATATATGATTATTCGGCGTTGCGACATTGGGCGGAAGGGGGAGGGAGGGGAGCGGGTCTGGCCCTGGACCTCTGCTTACTGGCGTCTGTTTCGGACCGTGCGTCTGTGGGGGGGACCCCGCTTGCCGGAACACAGGCGCCAAATACAGCCAAGATCTACTCCATGATGGGGGGGGAGGTAGGGGTGTGCGGGGGCCCGCGCCGATCGGCAAAACAATGAAGAAAAAACGATCACCATGATTTTTTCATGACGTCGACCTCCAGCGGTCTTGACCCGTTCCCCTGGACCGTTTTTTCTTATCCTGAGTCGCGTTTTGACTGTCCCGAAGACCTGTAGGGGCCCCCAAAAGCCAAGAAAATAGTGAAACCGTCTGTCGTCATTGCTTCATAGCTCGATTGGGGTCTTTGGGAGCGGCTGCTGCTTCTGCTCCTAGCGCTCTGGTGCGGAGACCCCCCCGTGGCCTTCACATTCTCCAGCTCGACAGCGGTCTTGTCCGCTCTGACCCGGACCTGCCGAGCCCAACCGCGCTGCCCAAAGAGAGACCAGAACCGCATCGATACGTCGGATCGGCGATCGAAACGAATCGGGTCGGCGGAAATCTGATGGGCCGATTTTCCACCTCCACTACAACAGGTAGGAGAGGGAGGAGGAGGAGGAGGAAGAGGAGGAGGAGGAGGAGGACCTCCCCATCCTCCCATCCTCCCCCGTCCTACCTGTGGCAGCGGTGGTGGAAGATTGTCCCATCCAAAATCGGCAGCCAAATCGTGACGTGTCGATATCGGCGGAAATCCTCAGGCTGGTAAGGCCTCCACTGGGAAAGCGAAGCCCAACTCGGAATCGGGAGCGGCAGAGAGGGGGGTGTCCAAGAGGGGGGGGTGCAAATCACGACGGGCGGCATGTGCGCGGCCCAGCGGGGGGGCCTGGGACGTAATGAAACAAGAGGAGGCGCCATGAGATCAGAGGAAAGATCATGGCCCCCGCCATGATATCCACCCCCCCCTAGTCATCACCCCCCTCTTTCGGGGATGGACAGACCCCCCTTTAGTAAAACGTGGTTTAGTGAAAACGACCTGAGGCCCAAACATGGCGGGCGCAAGCCTGGAAAATAACGGCCACGGCGCCATCTCGAGAACCGAAAACGGACAATTCACTAATCGACGTGTCACTGTTGGGGGTTCTGTCCACCCCCGACTCTTTTCCGCCCCTGACGGAAGCAAAATCGGAACCGGTCGCAAGAGTACCGGATCGAGTCGGAGGAGCGGAAAGGAGCCCGGTTGCCCTGCCCGGCCGACGGCGGTGCGCCCGGGTGAGCCTCCATGGGAGTCTCTGTGGGCCTCCGCGGTCTCGTCACAGACGTGATCTCGACCAGACTTCGTGCAGATTTCGGCCGCCCCTCTTCACCCTCTCGTCCAGATGTCGCCCAGATGTCGACCGACTTCGACGAAATCTGGACGAACTCCTCCAGATCGCAAGGAATCGGATGAGCCCCTGAGGCCCCCATGAAGGACCACACAAATTCGCCCCTCATCTCTGCAAGCAGGATGGAGGGAACAGGACGAGGACAATGGAAGAGGCTCTCCGAAATGATAGCTGCGTCAACTTCCAATTCGCCCATCGTGGCGCTCCGTCGGATAACAACTTCACATATCCACTCTCTATGCCTGACCTCTCCCGTCGGCCCCTGAATATTACTATAATTGAACACAGGCCGTAGTCGCACCGCTCATACGTCGAACAGAAATACTGAACCTTCCCTGCAAATGATCTTGCAGCCGTGTGGGTACAAGTAGCTGATTCCACGATGCTCGTTGGGGCACTTCGCAAGACCATCCTAAGTAAGGAAGACAGCGAACTACTCAGGGAGGACGGCGACGAGAAGGAGTATGACTGGATTTTGGGAAGACTCCGACCCCCCAAAATGAGTACCTGAACCTCCTGTAGGGGTCCTGAAACACCCACAGGACACGGGCGTTCACTGCGAGATGGGCACTACAGGGCGATTGCACTGTAATCTAGATGAGCAGATGAAGCAGGAATGCTCTGAACACAGACTACGACGGCTCCCACTACAGAGAAATGGCGCCTGGAAATAGGAGAGGAAGGTAGAAGAAGAACCAACAACCATAAACATAAACTGTTGGCGCTCCGCGCGGATATCTTGGATCCGCGCTGGGTCGCCCTTCCTGGCCGCCAGCTGTAGGGGGGGGGGGGCAGCGCCGATCCGAGAAATCTGCGCGGAGCGCCAAAGGTTTGTGTTGATGGCGGTGATTCTTCTTCGAGAAAAGATCGGCTACACGCAAGAGTGACCCTGGGTAAGAGTGACCTTTGGTGCGCGGCTTTTTGGGGGCCGCGGGGGGACCACACCTGGGCGCGCAAGCCGCTGCTCCTGCTTCGTTTTCAGCCATCTGGGGGCCCATCTGTGCCCGCACCACAGGTCACTCCGACGAAAGGTCACTCTGACGTCTAGTCGAAAAGAGGGCAGCCGCACACCAGAAGGAGTGCCCCTGATGGTGGCGCGCCGTGGCTTGCACGAAGCAGCATCCGGTCAGGGCCCGGGCGCCCCCGAGCGCATCCAGGAGGGGAACTTCGCAGCCGCTCGGGTACGGCGCGGCAGCCCGCGGTGGGAGCGATGCCGTGCCACTTCGATCTCACCTCCATGTACAAACACATGTGCAGCGGCGAAGGGTCTTGACTCCCCCCCCGAAGGGGGTAATGCATTCTCTTCTCGGCGGCCTTATTGAAGGACTGGGGTCCCACCAGTTTGGGGGTAACACATAGTTGTTCCGCGGCACCCGCCGCGCAACCACGACGACGACGGCTACGACTACGATTGCGACTGCGACTACGATTGGCCAGGGGGAGAGGGGGGAGAAGGAGGAGGAGGAGGAGCAGGAGAAGGATGAGGATGGGGAAGAGGAGGGGGAGCAGGAGGAGGATGAGGAGGAGGAGGAAGAGGAGGGGGAGGAGGAGGAGGAGGAGGGAGGAGGAGGAGAGGAGGAGCAGCAGGAGAAGGATGAGGATGAGGATGAGGATGAGGAGGAGGAGGAGGAGGAGGAGGAGGGGGAGAAGAGGGAGAGGGGGAAGGAGAGGAGGAGGAGGAGGAGGACGGAGAGAAAGAGAAGGGGGCGGATGAGGGGAAATAGGAGGAGGGGGGAGGAGGCAGAGGAGGAGGAGGAAGAGGAGGAGGAGGAGGAGGAGGAGGGTGATGAGAGGAAAGAGAAGGAGGAGGAGGAGGAGGAGGAGGTCTTAGGACCGGTCCTTCTGACCGCCGAGTGAACAGGGGGGGGACCAACACGAGACCCTCAGAAGGGTGAAACATTTGCATGGCAGGAGTGACTGCGCTGCACTGCGTGCCCAACTGCATCGCACTGCCGCCCCGGCCAACGACGCTCTGGAGACGGGCGGCCGTGGCAGGAGGGGGGCGCCGAGGCCCCGGCTCCTCGCGCCTCCAGCACCCCCCCCCCCCCCCGCCACCCTGCGAAACGTCGGGCAAGGCACTGTGGCCAGCCCGGAAAACGCGTCGGGCTGGGCTCTGGACTATGGGCGCGAGGAGCGACGTCGGGAAGGGCTGCGTCTTCTTCCCCGCGGAACGAACTGGCTGCCTACCAGACCACCCCAACCCAAGCCGAAGACCCGAATTTCGGGTTGGAGGGGGCGGGTACGGGCTTCATATGCGTTTTTGTTCATGTTCCCCGACGCCCCTTCACATGACATGGAGGGCAAATTGAGGCCTTCGAGTTGGTTTGGGGTGGCTTGGTGGGCAGTGACGAAGGAAGGACCCTCTGTACGACAAAAACTGTATACCTGTGCAGCGGCAGGACGCATCTGTAACTGAATACCAACATGAGATGGTGAACACGCCAGAGGGTTCGCCAGGGGGCGCTTTCCCGAAATGACCCAGGCACGGTTGGATGTGAGACAAAAGGAAAAAGGAGGGAGGACAATAATGCTGATCACGAGGAGAACTGGGAGGGAAGGAATCTCACATCGGCTGTAGACTGGGCGGGAGGGGCGTCGGGAAGGGCGTCGGGAACGGCCCAGGGAGGACTATGGAGGACACGGGCGAAGGGGAGGGAGCAGGGAAGGACCGAGAGGAGCGAGGGGGGGGGGACGGTGCCCACGCCCACTGAGGCTTGGAGCACGATGCCCCGTGTAAAAAAGCAAAGGGCTGGACCCAAACGTTGTTGTTCGTCTTGTGTTCGTCTTGTTTTTCTGTTTGCTCTCCCTGTGTTCCTGCACCTCCCTGCCAAAAACGAAAAACAAAGCACCGCCGAAGTCCAGCAAAACAGCGTTCAGGTCCAGCCCTGAGAGAGAGAGGAGCGGGAGGACGGTGCCCACCGCTGTGCCCACTGAGGTTCGGAGCACGGCCCACGTGAAAAAAAACACGGTGAGAACTCGCCAGGACGGGTGCCGAAAAGGTTCCTGAAGAATACGAGTCACACCACAACAGTGGCCATGCCCGAGTAGCGTTCACGCCCCGAGGAAGGTCACACACCGACCATGGGCACACCCCAAGTATGGGTCACACCCCAGTAAGGGTCACACCCCAGTCGTGGCCACACAGGATGAGGCCCGTGGGCAACCAGAGCGACACGGCCCAGGCAATGCCCACACTGTGGCAACTCTGGTCGGCTGACATGAACTGCCGCATGATAACACAGCCTCCAAATCAAAACGTTTGCTGCGTGTTCCTGAAAACGCTCCTATCTCGAACACGCAACGACAAACGCGATGCTACCGACGAAACATGATGCACGGAATGTGCATGCGAATGTTGCGGTACAAATGCGCGGTCGTGGCGCTGACGCGGCATCCAGTTCCCCGCGCATTTTTGGAAAGGAGACTCACAGTGGTCACAAAGGGATTGTGGTTGTGTGGGCAGCATACATATTGATGGAGCAAGAGGTCACCTGGAGAACTTAGCTTTCCCAGAAAGACGTCTATCCTGTGACACTGTACGTCCTAGTCATAACTTGGCACGCTCGAAACGGGGACGATGGTGGGGGGGACGGATGCGTAACAACACATGTCGTTTGAAAAAGACAACGGCCGCTAATGGGCAGACGTCGTCCGTTCTGAATGGACACCGTTCACTGACCCCGACAGCGAACCCTGCTCAAAGTGAAAAGGATTGCTCTCGGCATGCGTCCCCTTGTCTTGAGGCCCCCGAAATGGGGTCGGAACGAAATAGCGTCAGAAGATCGCACCGCAACGCCGATGCATCTGCGACGTCGGGATTCCAGCCCACACCGCGTCGCCAGTGCATCGGCGATGCGGCGCGATCCTCTGAGCCCATCGACGCAGGCTCCACTTACCGAGTCGGCCGAAACAGGTCGGAGAGACGTAAGACTCGGGTTCGGGGGGGCCTGGCGAGGCCGTCAAACAAATGACGAGACCCAGTCTGAGATTTGACGCTAGACCGTTGAAATCCAGGACGGGCTCGTCAAACAGCTTCGGCACTACGCTTCCTCGAACAGGGGGGGAGAGAAGAGGGGGTGGCGAATCAGCT